GGGAGGGGGGTCCCCGGTGCTCGGATCTCGAGGATGCTTATTGTTCGGTCCGAGCCTGGGTCTCCCTCTTCCCCCCAACCCCCTCAGCCCCTCCGGCTGCTGAGTGAAGGCTGCGGTGGAAAGTTTCCTGCCTGGGCGGAGGCGTCTCTCTCGGGGCTGGGCTGGGCTGCCCTGGGCCGGCCCGCCTGCGGCCCGCGGGGCCTGTCTTGCAGCGCTCGCCCCCTCGCCCCTTACTGGCTTGGGGGTTTATGTTCCAGAGACGGACGGCAAGAGGTCCCGAACCAGTTACACGCGCTACCAGACTCTGGAACTCGAGAAAGAATTCCACTTTAACCGCTACCTCACTCGCCGCAGGCGCATCGAGATCGCCAACAACTTGTGTCTCAATGAGAGACAGATCAAGATCTGGTTCCAGAACCGCAGGATGAAGTGGAAGAAAGATTCTAAAATGAAAAGCAAAGAGGCTCTTTAGAGGCAGCGGGGAGGCCCGCAGCAGAGAACACCCCGAGCGAGCCGGCTTAGGTCCCTGCGCCTTTCCTTTTCGGTTTTCCTTTCTCTATATTTTGGGGCGGGAGCGGGGGCTCATAGACAAAACGTTTTCCCTTGACATCCGCATCCCCACTGACCCAGGGTTCCCGCGGGGCTGGTTGTGCTGCCCGGTTTCCCCTCAACTCAGCTCAGCTCGGCACCCGGGGCCCAGGGCAAGCTCAGCAGGGCTTCCCCAAAGGGCTGCGGTGCTGAAGGAAACGTCTGGGCCGCCTCTCGGGCTTCCAGCTCCAGCGCTGCCCTCCCGAGCTCAGGTGGGCCCTGCGCAAACCGCAGTCCCATTGCCCCGACCCTCCGGCCTCGCCCTCTCCTTTGTTCCGGGTTATGCGAGCCAGGCCGCTGAAGAATGGTGAACGAATGGTTGTGCTTGGCGGAGTCTGTCGCCAGACTCGGGGTTCTTATTTCTAGCAGCTAAACTCGATCTTCCTTTACGAATGATTTGCATATGAAAAGGAGCGACGACTTAAGGTCCTCCTAGGGCCCCCTCTGTTGCCCTATGCTCTACAAACTTCTTCCCCCCCAAAAAAACCCTGGAACTTCCTCAGCCTTTGCCCGCTGCATGCCCTCTCAGGCTCAACTCTTGGGGTTTCTGGCCACTGGATCCCAGCAAGAGGTCCTAGAGGCCCCTTGCTACCCTGTAGTCTCTACCACGACTTTCTGTCCCCTCCTGCCCCATCGCTGTTGTCCAACTATTTATTGACTCCAGGTCCTTCCTGAAACTATATTTTGTCATATCAAATAAAAACAAAGAGAGAACAGGACTAAAGATGCAGTGGCTCCTCTCTGTTTAGGGCATATATTGGGTAAAAGTGTTTAAAGGGGCTTTGAGTTGCGGGAGAAGGCCCACATCCTTTCCACCTCCCCTTTAAGACAATTTTTAGGAGATTCTAAGTTCAGTCAGTGAGAAGAATACCGTGCGCTCCTTTCCTGATCCTTGGCTCCAGGAAGGCCTCTAAGAAAAGCACAGGGCACTAAGGTCTCCTGTACTGTGGCTGTCCAAGGTGTTCAGGTCTCAGCGCCCCATTCCTGCCTTGACTGGGCGCATCTAAGGCCTCTAGACTAGCAGCAGCCCCCAATCCATGCCAGCGCTAATGTGCAGGGACCCAGTGACTTTGCCTTGCTCGGATTCAGTCCCTTTGGGCCTCTAAAGAGTTCTCCTGGGGGTTAGGTAGTCTCTGCAGGGCCTTGCTGGATGTTGTGGGAGGGCTGAGCCCTCAGTCTGGGGACACATTTGATCCCAGAAGGACTGGCCAGGGAGAGTTGGTGCTGCTTGGTAAAGAGATGCTGGGGAAGTCGGATGAGGTGTGCCTCAGTTCTCAGTGATACAGTGGGAGAGGGCAATCAGTAGTGTGTACCTGTCTGGCAGGAAATGTTCAGGATGTCTCCCTCACCTCTAGGGCCTAGGGCAATATGAGAGACCAGTGCCAGAATCAAGTCTGTTTGCCATCATTTATCCCCCAGTCTCCAGGATTCTGTGTGAAGGGGAGGTAGCCGACAGAAGGGGAGAAAGAGATCATTCAGGTGCAGCCTGAGGCTGGCCTGGCCCACATTTCTGGTCTGCTCCACTCTAGGCTCCTGAGATGGGGTGGAGGAGGAAGCACTTTACAGGAGAAACAAATGTGAGAAGGGTCCATAAAACTTTACTGCATTTCCTCTCCTGCCTCCCACAATGGGGTGATTTCCTGGAGCCAAGCCTGGGCCCCCCACACTGATGGGGTGGAGGTCTGGAGCTGGGTTGGGGGTTGCTTCAGCAGCCAAGAGTGAAAGGGAGTAGAGAGACTCTGGGGAGGGGCAGGGGGAATATTTATGATTATTAATGCTGATGCTCCTTGGATTTATTATAAGGTCTGACTTCGCTGAGTCCCACTGCCTAAGCTACCCGTCTGTCATTATTAAAAGACCCTTTTCTCACCCCATACCTAGCACGAAGGAGACCTCAACAAATGTTTATTGAGCTGCACCCCTCACTGCCATGCTTCCTTTCCCCCTGTACTCAGGCCGGGTGAGAGCACCCTAATGTCTCTTGGATTGCACACAGCAGTCAGCTCAACCCAGCACCAACTCCTTCTCCTCTGTCTCTCTCTCTGAAATAAAATGTGTAATTTTCTTCAGGGAGTTATTTTAATTTTTTCTCCATGCTGAGTAAAACTATTGGGTGAGCAGTGAAGCATAGAGAAGCACTAGCGTCTCTGATGGGTAACAGTTAACTAAGAAAGAGGCTATGGCTCCCGCACTCACTGGCTTTAGCCTCCCAGGCTGCCAAGGCCCGCGCTTCCCTCCCAGGGGGCAGGCACACTGTCCTGGGGGAGAACCACAGGCTTATGCCAGGGATGGGGGCAATGTTGGTCAGACCCCACCAGGGAGGGTACACCCGCCCCCCTGTGCACTGCCTGCCTCCTCTCAGCAGGTTTTGGGCCTTACTTTCCCTGGAGGATCTGAAGGACTGACCCACCTTGGCCAGGCTTGAGTAAGCACAGCCGCGCCTGCCTGCCTGTCTCCCCACTCCTGTCACAGTCTGCAAGGTCTGTGCCCCGGGCCCAGCCTCAGCTTTAGCAGTGTCAGCGGTGGGTGGGTGGCAGCAACAGGCCAGAGGCCTTGCATTTACTGCCTGCATGGGGTGGATAAGGCCCAGGCTTTTGCTTTCTCCCTGAGAAGAGGCTTCTGTTTAGGGTCTGGGGAAGTTCCCCCACTAGCAAGCCTCCTGGACTGATCTCCAAGTCCCAGAGTTGGCATTGCACCAGGGGAATTAGTGGAGGGCCTTCTGAGTCCCAAACGGAGACATGGAGCCTGCCTCTCCACTTTGCCCTGGAACCCACCCCCTCTGGCAGCGAGAAAGAAGGGGAAGAAGCATGACTTACCTTCCCGGGGGAGTGGGAAGAGAGGGACACGGCCCACTCTGAGCAATTAGAGGAGAGGAGGAAAAAAATAAGAGGAAAAAATTATCAACACGACCTCGAAGGCGACAGGTCCTTATGGAAATAAGTAAGTAAGTAAATAAATAAATAGGGATCCACCCTCTCTCCCCTCCCCACCTTGCAAGGGGGGTATGGGGGTGGGGCAAAGGAGCAGCACGAGGGCTTTTTAGTGTAACTGAGCATTAGAGAAATAGGCATGGCTTCTATGTGAATTTAGGAGTTTGAAACTTTTGGAGGTTATTTATGTGAATGGCCCGAAGGCAAGCCCGTGAGTGGCTCTTGGGGGACCACGTGATGTCATTAAACCAAGTTTTATGGTGTAGGGAGAGCTGACAAACCCACAATATATTTACATCATATATAATCTTAACTGTCCAGCCACGCAGCTGCTGGTGAGGTTTAATGCTAGGACAGAGGGCCTGGCAGTTAGAGGGGATTACGGCGCTGGGGATGATGGTGAGAGAGGTTACATCTTCGCAAATGAATCCCAGGCGAACGCTGTAAGTTAATTCTCTCTCTCTCTCAAACCTTTTCTCCCATTTACCTAACCCCCACCCCCAACCTTGATAGAAGGCAGTTCTCACTCATTAAGCGGAGGAGAAATAGGCCTCCCCAGGCTGGAGAGGAAGAGCAGAAGCCGCTGGGAAGGAGGAAGACAGGGGAGCTTGTCTCCGGACTCAAGCCTTTTCTAGCTTCCCCAGCCCTTACTCCATCTGGTTGCTAGTTAGCTGGGGTAGAAAGAGGCCTGGTACTACAGTATTTTGCTAGGCCTTCCAGACCCCCCTTGGTTGGGAAGAAGCCAGCAGCAGAGACATAGGTGTTCGTGTTTGTAGGACTGTGCAAACTCTAGGCACAAGCAGAAAGTGTCCCTAAGGGCCTCTGTTCCAGAAGGGGTGAGTTCAGCCCTTGGCCGGTGGCCCAGAGTTCAGGCAGGGTGGGAAGCTGGGGAGAAAGGTGGGGAAGGAGGGCTGTGTGGCTTCTGAGCCTACAGGCTGCTGCTGCCCGGACTGACAGAAACTTCTGAAGGTAGCCAGCCGAACCCAAGGGGTCCCAAAGTATGGCTTTCCCCTTTCTGTCTAGGCCTGGTGGGCAGCCTTCCCAAGCCTCTGGAGTCTGGGGTCTTAGTCTAGCTAGGGCCAGCAGGGTGTCATGCTTTCCCCTCCCTCAGGCTGTGGGGGTCTTCCTGGCATCCCTAGCCCTTGCCTCAGTTAGAAGTAGGCCCTAGGAAACCTAGAGGACCCCCTGTGAGTGGAACATCAATGTGTGTTGTCTCAGAGAACTGTGTGTGGAGGGGATGGAGCAGTGGAGATGTGTCTTTGCTGGGCTGGGGAGGTCCCCCCAATCTGCAGGAGAGAGTAACCTCTGTGGGGTGGAGGCTGGCAGGGCCCAATCTGGACATTGCATTTGGGGTAAAGCCTCAGGCTGGGCTCCCTTCAGGTTTCTAGGAGCAGCAGAAGCCTGAGAGGCACAGGTCCTCTACACCTGCCAGAGTACCCCATCCCTGTGCGACACTGGGAGCTAAGCCAGGAAAGTGACAACACCTGAACTCAGGCTCCTCTACTCTGCAGTAAACAGGGAGGGGTTTCCAAGCAGGGCTGAGAGTCTGTAGGCCCATGGAGGGGGCAACCTAGTCAGCTAGGCTGCAGGAAAGGAGAGGGGAGTAGAAGGCCTAGCCAGGTCTGCACCTTATGGAAGCTGGAAGGGGAAAAAGCTGATTTAAGGGCAAGGGGATCTGGACGCTGTGTTGGGGAGTGGTGTAGCTGGGGGATGGGAGGAAGCATGGTTCAAGGAAGACGCTGGAATCTATCAGGGAGGGATAGTCCAGGCAGGCTCTGGAAAGATGACAGAGGACAGAAGCCCAAAGTCACCAGGAGTCTGAGCTAAGCCCGATCCTGAGGAGCAAGGGTGACTCTGTTTTATGGAGGACTCTGCTGATGTCTTTCTCAGGCCCTCAGTGCCGGCAGGGAGATTCTGTTCCCTCCCCCCACCCTTTATTTCCCTAGGAAGCATTAGGATCCCAGAGGTTTCTCTCCAGCAGCCCATTTGAAAAGTCTACTTTCATTCAGGTTCTCCCTCCCTCCTATCTCACCCGTGGCCCTCTCTCTCCCCTCCCCAACAGTCTGATTTTGAGTTTCTGGAAACTTTGCGATCCAAATCCCAGGGAGATAGATGGGAGTTTCCCTTGGTCTATAACTTGACTCTTCCCTTTCCTCCGGCCTCCCCAGGGCTTAGGGAGTAAGTCCAATGGTCTTTAACCAGGAATTTAGCCAGGGCCAAAGTCCCACACCCAGGCAAGAATCCACATCCATTTCTGACTCCCTGCCAAATTTCAGTCTCCATTCCCTTCCTCTCCGGATAGAGGAGTGTGTGAGTGTGTTTCTATATTTTATAGATTTACACAGCCTCTGGGGCATTCCTCATTCCATTTAAATAACCATCTCCTCTTATGATAATAGGAGGATCCTCTTTTCTCTCAAATACTTTGTCTTGGTCAGTTTTTATGTTTTTTTTTTTTTCCTGTTTGGTCTGTCCACCTGGAAACAGGACAAACACAGAAGAGTCTTGATTTTCTCACCCCCTTTCTTTCCTGGAATTTGAGTTCTCTCTGGAGGGGGGGTGGGTGCCTAGGTCTTTAACACTAGAAGAGGTCAAGCAACCAATCAGGAATGCGCTTAGCAGGGTCACATGGTCCTCATCGACCAATCAGTAAAAAAATACTTGGGTCTCTGTCTCACCCTTCCTGTCCACTGCTTTTCTTCCCTCCTCCCTTCCCACCACCCCTTTGGCTCTTAGGTCTGCCCTATCTCAGAATCGTTTGGGAGGAGTGATACTCAGCATATT